GGGCCTTACACATTATCTACATCTGTTTCTGGTCTTTTTGAAGTCAGTTCTAAGGATGCAGCTCCATCTTCCAGCCAGAGGTACACAACGTGGCTATAATACTATTTTTTAGTATAATCCTTAGAAATAGTATGGAATCATGGATGGGTCATTAGCATTACAGCTATTAAAGCCCTAAGGGCTGGGTGGGGAGGTTTGATGCTCACAACACACCAAATCTCAACACCTTTCAAATCAGTTTAACTCAATCTTCCCTTAAGTTAGATCCTCTCTCAACTTACCATCCAGGTCTATAATCTTTGATCCCTTTCCATCCCTATTTTTACCGCGTCCCTCCCTCTTCAAGCCTCCAGCCACGTTCCCCTTCTCACCAACAGCATCCGCCCCCAGCTTCTGCAGCAGCCAACATTCAGCCACAGTCTCAAAAGACGGGCCTGCCAACATCACATAGGTGCCTTCCTTCAGCTCTCTCTGCTCCCCCATCTGTTTCCAGGCCCTATGAGCATTCTGCCGCATATCCCGGTCATAGGCATCGGACATGGCAGGAAAACGAAGTCCAAACCTAGGGCACAGGTTGGAATCTCAGGTTATTGCAACCACATGAGCCCTCTCCTGACTCCCAGACAAGTCCTTAAACCCTACCCAGCTATAAAAAAAAAAATTAAAAGGCAAGATACATACCTTTCGTCATTGGGCCCTATGAGAGGGTTCACACCACTGAAGCCAGGAAAGTTGATGTGATCACGGATCAGCATGATATCTCCGACCTCAAACTCAGGGTTGAGTCCTCCAGCTGCATTGGTGACCACTAGAGTGTCCACGCCCATAAGGAAGAAAACCCTCACTGGGAATGTCACCTTACAAGCCCAAGATAAAAGATCAGAAAGTGTTCTTTAAAATTTCATCAATCCACCCACAGATATGCAACATATAGATCAGGAAAGAAGAGAAAGGAGGGGACCAAAATCTATCTAGCCCAGGTAGCTAGGCAATAAAATAGGATTGAGAACTCTCCCCCTTCTTCCAGATCCATTCAAGCTATGCCCCTGATTTACCTTCCAGATCGGGTAGCCTTCATACATGTGGAACCTGCCCTGCATCATCACACAGGCCTTGCCATTCAGGAACCCAAACACCAGTCGACCAGCATGACCAGGCACTGTAATGTAAAATAGAAAGGAGAAAGAATGGGGTGATGCTTTCATAGAACACATATCCATTGAGCACCCACTACCAGCCAACTCACTGCGCTCAACATGTGAGGCCATAATTAAGCCAAAGAAACATTATTATTATCTCTGCTTTCAGAAAGCTAAAGTCTGGTAGAGACAGAAATAAATCAATCATAAGCCTACAAATAAGTATATAAGTACATCCTGAGATTGGGGCTATGTGAAAGTAAGGATGTTCCATGTGAACAATATATCAAGGCAAAGGAAGGAGAGGTTTTTTTAAAGAAACTTCAAAAGAATGAGGAAGCCATATTACAAGAGAATGAAAGTGAGTAAAAAATAGAATAAGCGGACAATAATAATTGCAGTGAATATAGTCATTACAGATCACTTTTCCAAAAATTTTAAAATTCTCAAAATGTATAATCTTATTTCTTACTCTAACTAAACCATGTGCCTCCTCACTCTTGAAAGGGAGCTCATGGTATATTCTGGCTTCCTAAAGAGACTACTGAACGGCAGGCAAAGGGGCTGAGTTTGGACCCATCTAAGTCTCCTCCATTATGACCCACAGAAGAGTCCTGTAGGAATACATGCCACTGATGGGGCCTGCATGTGGGAGGGCAAAATAACTCTCCACACAGGACATAAGAACCACTATTACCAGTTCCCTTCTCTAGCATTTCTCCTCTAATGGACCGGACCACCTATCCCGGAGGGAATGTGTGGTGTGAGAGAGGGACCCAAATCAAGAGGAAGAGTTGAGGGATGGTTGGAGACAAAAGAGCGTATTAAAAAAAACTGCCAGTAATAGAGCAGAGATAACAGAGTTAGGAAAATGAAAAGTATAAAAAAATAGGTCGATAAAGTTTAAAAATTAATCCACTAATCACTTAGTGCAGCACCCTTCTTAGGATGGGAGAGGACAGGCAGAGCCAATGTCATTGCTATCTCCCTTAGAAAACTTTTTTTTTTAAAAGATTTTATTTACTTATTTGAGAGACAGAGAATGAGATAGAGAGCATGAGAGGGAAGAGGTTCAGAGGGAGAAGCAGACTCCCTGCTCAGCAGGGAGCCCGATGTGGGACTCGATCCCGGGACTCCAGGATCATGACCTGAGCCGAAGGCAGTCGCTCAACCAACTGAGCCACCCAGGCGCCCCTCCCTTAGAAAACTTTGCCCTCACTCTCTGTCTCTCTTTTTTTTTAAAGATTTATTTATTTGAAAGAGAGAGAGAGAGAGAGAGAGTGCGCGCACAGGGGGAGAGTCAGAGGGAGAGAGTCTTAAGCAGACTCCCTACTGAACACCAACAGGATTCTTGGGCTCCATCTTACAACTCTGAGATCAGACCTGAGCTGAAACCAAGAGTCAAGGGCTCTGAGCCACCCAGATGCCCCACCCTCCCCCTCTTTTTAATACTTCTTTCCCCAACCCCGACTCCCACCTCCCTGCTCTGGTCTCCCAATCTTGCTCCATAGGGTTTGAAAAGTATCTGGGCAGGGGCGCCTAGGTGGCTCAGTCGTTAAGTGTCTGCCTTCAGCTCAGGTCATGATCCCAGGACCCTGTCAAATAAATAAATAAAATCTTTAAAAAAAAATATCTGTGCAAAGTATTAACTCTCTGGAGAAAAGGGGAAGGTAGAAATTTATTTATTTATTTTTAAAAATTTTATTTATTTGACAGAGAGAGACACAGCGAGAGAAGGAACACAAGCAGCAGGGGTGGGAGAGGGAGACGCAGACTTCCCGCCAAGCAGGGAGCCCGATGCAGGGCTCTATCCCAGGACCCTGGGATCATGACCTGAGCCGAAGGCAGACGCTTAACGACTGAGCCACCCAGGCGCCCCGGTAGAAATTTATGACATTAATAAATAAACCAATGGATGTTAGTTATCTGAGAATTAATAAGTAAACCAAATAAACTACTCTTGCCCTTATTTTACCTGGCCTCTCCACCCTCCCCTCCCTTTCTCCCCAGAGGACTGGCTAAGGTCATTAACCTAAGGTTCATGAACCATAGGTAAAAATACAGTTTCATAGGTGGTAAATAGAAAAATGTCGGTAGGGTCCCTGGGCGACTCAGATGGTTAAGCATCTGCCTTCAGCTCAGGTCGTGATCCCAGCTTCCTGTGTGAATCAGGTCTTGCACATCCATGCATTATCTGTGTATTCTGTCTACAAGAACATGGCAGTCTGTGTGTTCATTTATTGCTGTGCACTCGTGTGTGCCTTATCCTGGGACAGGAGCTAGAGCTGGGGAGATTGGGAATGGCAGGAAGACATAGAACAGGGCTCGCCTGACTGTCCCGGGAGGTTACGGGCACTACTTTTTCCATTTAATAATCTGCAGACTGAAGAAATGAGAGGGGCTGTGTAAATGTGGTGACTACATGGTGTGTGGCGGGGAACAGCATGGGAGTGAGGTGCTGCAAAGCTTTATGGAGTTCAGAATCATTACAGCACTGGAAATACGTCATCATGTGCTACCACTACCGCACACATACCCCGTCTATTATGAAATTTCTACTGGGGGGATTTCTAAAGTCATTCTGATTCGTGGTGGTCTTTTTTCCCCCTCTCATAAACAAGTTGTCTTGAGTCAAATGCTGTACAGGCCAAGCGGGTGCAGGCATGAGAGAAGCATGCCTTCTCATCGGCATCCCATCAGTATCCTTTGGTCCAATACTTCACTGCCCCCCGCCCGTACCTGTACTTTGGGGAAAGTTTGGAATCTCGCTGTAGTCAAAGCTCTGGCTGTCAGTTAATTTATTAACCAGATTTCCTAACCCAGAGCCACAGATGACTGCCACTTGAGGTCGGTGCTTGGTGTGGCACAGAAGCCATTCACTCGTGTTCCGATAATCATCATACGTAAATCTAGGAGAAAAGTAAAATCAAGGTAAGTTTCTCTCCCAACCCAAGGGCATTGCAGACTGATGACCTTCAGTGCAGAAAGGCTGGGAGGTGTGCCAGGGTGGTAGGGGACACAGAAGCTAGCCAAAAAGCTGCCCCAGAGAGGAGGATCCTTGCTCTCAGGAGGCGCCACACTAAGCTCATCCACCCACCCACTCTTCTTTCTGAATCAGACCGACCGAGAAAAGACTGCTGGGAAACTCCCTCCTCATTCCAGAGCCTGGCAAAAGTTAATGATACCTATGTTTCCACCTCCCAGCCCCAACTTCAGTTTTGCTATCACTGGCAGGTTTAATATCTCTCTTAATAGCAAAGATTTATTTATTTATTTTTAAAGATTTTATTTATTTATTCATGAGAGACAGAAAGAGAGAGAGAGAGAGAAGCAGAGGGAGAAGCAGGCTCCCCACTGAGCAGGGAGCCTGATGCGGGACTCGATCCCAGGACCCTGGGATCATAACCTGAGCCGAAGGCAGACGCTTAACCATCTGAGCCACCCAGGCACCCTTAATGGCAAAGATTTAGAGAGGAAGGGCCTATAGAGGCTACAGAGAAGTACAGTGAAATAAATCAAGGAAGCTAAAAGGGTCGGGTTTCAGGATTAAGACCTTCTTTAGGGCAATGACAAGCCCAATGCAATTCTCCACTCAAAATGTAATTAAGACTACCTTGAGGGCAGGAATAAACCCAATTTCCTTTTGGACCCTTACCCTCCACATCCGCCTTCAGACAAATACTTTTTTTGGTTAACCACCCCCCCCCCAAAAAAGGCAATGGGAACACTCCTAGTAGAAATCTATGTGCCAGTTAGTTCCCCCACATCCATATTTCTGGTACACCCAGACCCAATACAGACCCTGTCATATGTAACTGCAAAGGGTAATTCAAGACCAGCGACCAGGTAAGCACAAAAAAGCAGAATTGGTTGACAATGGCTGAAACAGAACTGACTGCCTCAAGTTTCTCAGCAGCAGCTGGTTAAAAATACAAATTCTGGAGCCCACCCCTAGAGATCCAGAATTCTGGGGAGAGTCCCAAGGATCTGTATTTTTTACAGAAGTGTTAGGTAATTCTGATTCAAAAACCAGGTTTAGTTATTTTTGGTCTAGAGGAAAGCAGAACTCAACCTGGATTCTAGTCTCAATTTTGTCTTTTTAAGCAAATAACCTGTGTTTCAAAGTCTTTCCTCAAGTATAAAGCAAAGGAACGTCATCAGCCCCACCTACCTTATAGGTGCAGTTTGAAAATGAATTAGAAACTTACCTGTAAGTTCCAAAGACCTTAAACTCCATAAATCAGTGTTCAGGTCCACAGTACTTGAACCTTTTTCCGACCTTCGCCCCTGCCAGTGTTCTCCACCCTGCTCTCTCCTATCTCCCTTCTCCTTCAAGGTTCTTTGCTCTTTAGAGACCTAACCACTGATGCTTACCCAGAACCCATACGTCCCCAAGAACCAACTCAGAATTTTTCTCACAATTCCAATCCAATTCTCAAACACCCATCTGGAAAAACCAAAGACTGGGGGAGAGGGGAGTGGGACTGAGATGTGACAAGAGCTGAAGACAGCTAACCAAACCTCCAAAGGAAATCCTTTTCTTCAAAAGCAGAGGCTCTGAAACCAGAGGACTCTACAGTACAACAGGCTACCCCCAGGGAAGTAGCTGGGTAAAGGGACGGGGGTGGCGACAATGGAGCTGGGGCCACAGGATGATGCAGAGAAGCAATGAAATGGTAAAAAGTTAATCAAATAGCATCCCCAAGAGATGCAAAGGAAATGAAAGAAGTGAGAAGCCCTGGATACCTAACATATCTAGCAACAGCTTATTCAACTTCTTCATGGGCCATCAGTCTCCCAAGAACACCCTGGATCCCGGTGAATCCAAGAGCTACCATGATCCCTAAAGCCGGTGACTTGGAATGGGATTTCTGGGACCAAAGCAGACAGAAGAGTTTTCAAAGGTGTGAAGTGAGAGGAATGCGCCATCTTTTGCTCAGTTCAATAAATAAGGATTTCCTTCTCTCCTTGGAGACTCCATCCCCAACTTATTAAAAAAAAAAAAAAAAAAACTGTTGGCGGGGGGCGGTGGGCGCCTGGGTGGCTCAGTCGGTTAAGCGGCTCACTTCGGATCAGGAGGCTCAGGTCATGATCTCCGGGTCCTCTAATCGAGTCCCTCCTTGAGCTCCTTACTCAGCAGGAAGTCAGCTTCTCCCTGTCCCTCTCCCCTCCGCCCTGCTCCTGCGCGCATTCTCTCTCAAATAAATAAATAAAATCTTAAAAAAAAAATTTTTTTTAGTTTTAAGTAGGCTCCACGCCCAAGGTGGGGCTTGAACGCACGACTCTAAGATCAAGAGTCACATACTCTACGGACTGAGCCAGCCAGACGCCCCGACTCCAACTTATTTTAATTGAATCTCCAATTCGGAAGGAAGGAAAGGTGTTGTGTGAGACTTCAGCTCTCTCTCCTCTGAATGAAATCTGAAATCTCGCCGCTTTACCTAGACTCTACAACCGGAATCTATGACAAGCACACGGGGTGGGAAGACCTCTTCCCTGTATGCGTGTCGGGGTGGCTGGGGGATATAGGGAGTAAGCCTCCCCCCCGACACCTGCACACCTGCACCTCAGTGCGCGCGCACACACACAAACACACCGGCTCCTACACCGTACTACACGGGTCCCCTTCCTGCTCCCGTGACGCCAGCCCTGCTCGATTCCTGCCGCCCCACTGTTCTGCCGCCCTGCCCCGACACCTGGCTCCCCGCCAGGCCTCTCTGCCTCTCCTGGGCACTCGTTCCCCCTCTTGGCCCCTTGGGGGCCCGGTACCGGGCTTCCAGGTCTCGGTGACAACCATTCCCCCGCCCCCAGGTTCCCCGGGCCGGGTGCCCGCCTCACCGGTTTTCCATGGTGCCGCCGCCGCCGCCCTCTCGAGGAGCCCGCCCTTGGCCTCTGGGATCCGGGCCGCTGAGCCGCGCTGCGCAGAGCTGTACTGGCCGGGAGCGCTGTGCACAGTGTATGCACAGTTACTCGCGGCTGGCTTCTATCCCAGCCCCGAGTCCCCAGCCAATGGCAAACGAACACGCAAGCCGGCCCCCATCTCCATGGTGACACACCCAGATTCAACTGCCCGAGGCTGGGCTAACAACTTAATCTGAGTTCCTTCTGACGCTGGAACCTGACTCGGGCCCCACCCCACTCCCTGGAGGCTTCTAGCACTGCATCCCTGCCCTCACTTCCGTTTGCAAGGCCGCGGTTTCCCTCAAGGAAGCCTCTGCGAGAAGAGGGCTAGAAGCCGGAGGAGAGCCCCGAAACCTTTTCTCTGTAACCCCATTCCCGGTTGTGTCTAGAGCAAACCGCGAGATTTGAAAATACAAAAATTTAAACCTTATATCTTGCAACTGCAGAATAAAATTAAGTGAGCCCGTGTCTGAGTTGTGTCAAACAAAATTTGCAATGAGGCTGCAAGGCAAACACAAATTTATTTGGGGTCTTAGGAACTGCAATTTGGGAGACTTGGATTCCGGAGGAAAACCAAATTGTTTTCCCCTCCGCTGAGGCGAAAAGGGTAAAAAAAGGCGGGCGGGAGGGCGGGAGATTCCAAGAAGACTTACATAAGTTGTTTTGCAAAATTATGATTGGCCAAAAGAATTTCCGTTGAATTTCCAGTTTGCCTTCCGGGACTGCAAGAAGCCAAGATGTTGCCGTTTGGCAATGAACTATAAAGTTTAGGCTCTGTGCAGAGCCCCATTTCCCTAATAGCTTCCTGGCTCCATTTTTCCTGATAGGAGTGATTCCATTTCAGATTTTTCGCTTCATATTTTTCCCTTTTGATCAAGATCTTTCCTTGGAAAGCATTGATGATCAACCATAGGATCTTTCCTTGGAAAGCATTGATGATCAACCATAGGATCATCCTAGCTCAGAAGGTTCATTCCTAAAAGGTCATGTCCCACAGAGGAGGGAAAGTGAAATGTTATGGATGATGAATGTCAGGGAGAGCCTATAGTCACAGCAACAAAGAGGTTTTCAGGAAGCAAGTCTTAGACATTGTCCTCATCTTAAAAGCCCATGGAGTTGACTTGTCTTCAGGGATTGCCAATGGATAGCTGTGGTTGATCATTTTAAGCCTTTGTGTGACCATAATTTCGACATCCTGGATGGCCAAACAACAGCGAGAAATACAAAGCATCAGTAATTTAATTATAATTAAAAAGGAGCACATAAGTACAATAATAAATATGATTATTTGTAACCCAGATCTTAGAAGGGCTTCAAGTCCTATGGGAAGTCCACTGAAAACTTAAAATTAAACTGACTTAGAGGCTGAAAGAAACTCCTTTTAACGATGGCAAATTTAAGTATTTTGGTGGTTTTCAACTGAGCCTGTTTGTGAGGTGCAGCAGGAAGTCTTAGGGATGGCACAGACTCCTTGAGCAGCCCCAAGTAATCCAAAGCTCTTCTGTTGTCTAGTACAAATCAAGCAAGGGAATCTAGAGACCTTCGCACTTTAATGGCCCTAGCAATGGATCTGGCTACTCTATTAACAGTCCAGGACAGATTCCATATCATGACCTCATTTGCAGCAGATCCTGCCAGAAAAAAGGATCCCAAAATTCCAAGGAGATCCATTCCTTCATTAGGATTGTATCCTGTGGGAGGTCACAGTCCTGAGAATGTCTTCCTATTTGGAGGAGTCATTGTCTGGGTGGTCATTTATAATGGATAGAGCTCTCTTGTTTCTTTCTTTTTTTTTCTTTTTTAAAGATTTTATTTATTTATTTATTTGACAGAGAGAGAGAGAGAGAAAGAGATCACAAGTAGGCAGACAGGCAGGCAGGCAGGCGGAGGGAGAGGTAGAAGCAGGCTCCCTGCTGAGCACAGAGCCTGATGCGGGGCTGGATCCCGGGAGCTGGGAATCATGACCTGAGCTGAAGGCAGACACTTAACAGACTGAACCATCCAGGTGCCCTGAGCTCTCTTGTTTCTTTGGTGAGTGTCTTTAGGGCAGGAGAGATCCCTGTGACCAACTGAAATACAGTGAAGGGAGAAACTGCATATTCTAGGAGACACTGTCCTGTCATTCTCTGACTATCTATGATGAGGGAGCAGAAGGCAAGCTGAGGACAAAGCACATGCTGACACCCCACAATACAACCCCCCCCCAGGTGGGATCTGTGTGACGTTCCTCAGGCACTCCTGGCTGCCCTAAAACTAGGGGGAAAGGGAAAAACAAATGGCTAACTAAGAGAGAATACAGTCCTGCAAGACATGAGTCTCCATCAGTTTACCATGTCTTAGTGATTTACAAGATAAAAGCATTCTTATCAATAGCCTAACTCCCAGAGACCCATAACTCAATTTCCTGGAGCCCTAACGTCACCCTCCCTTTCTTGAGTGACGTGGGAAACCGAGGCAGAAGGAAAAGTAAACTAAATGTCTTCATGACCTGCAGCCCATCGACAAGGACCTGAGAAGGGCAGAGTATGACATTCCTCCAGGAAGATCCCAACTGTCTTAAGGTTGATGCCTTACTAGAAGGAAAAACAACCCTAGCTTGACAGTAGCAAGGCCTGTAGCATCCTGAGAGTCTTCTTTAGCATATCAAAGTCCTTTTGGACACCTCCCTTTTTCCTTAACTTCCCCAACTGCCAAATATATAATCAACCATTCCTCACAACCCCGGGGCAGTAGATCTTTCTGCCATGGATCCTGTTCCATTGCTTTCATAAAATCACCTTTTTTTGCACCATAGACATCTCAAGAATTCTTTCCTGGCCATTGGCTCCAGACCTCACCAACATTCAAAGACTAGATCATCTAGGCAGTCAGATGTCCAAGGTTGCCCCTCGTAGGCATGGACAAAGAATATATCCTGTGGGAGCACAAAATATTTCTTTTCAAGTCTGATTATAGACTCATCTGTAGGTATGGAAGGTAAGACAGGAGAAAACCAGGGGTCTATTTTGTTCAAGCAGCCAGATACTGCTTCTTTTTTTTTTTTTTTAAGATTTTATTTATTTATTTATTTTTTAAATATTTTATTTATTTATTTGACAGAGAGAGACACAGCCAGAGAGGGAACACAAGCAAGGGGAGTGGGAGAGGGAGAAGCAGACTTCCTGCTGAGCAGGGAGCCCGATGCGGGGCTCGATCCCAGGACCCTGAGATCATGACCTGAGCCAAAGGCAGACACTTAACGACTGAGCCACCCAGGCACCCCTTAAGATTTTATTTATTTATTTGAGAGAGCGAGAGAGAGCACATGAGAGGGGGGAGGGTCAGAGGGAGAAGCAGACTCCCCGCTGAGCAGGGAGCCCGAAGCAGGACTCGATTCCGGGACTCCAGGATCATGACCTGAGCCGAAGGCAGTCGCTTAACCAACCGATCCACCCAGGTGCCCCGCTAATTGCTTCTTTTGATATCAAAGCTTAGTTGACTCTTTTGCAAAGGAGGGTCTTACAGCCGGAAATGTATATTGGAAAACCAGTTGGGCTCCCACGTGTTTTTATGAGCCAAGTATAAGTGGCAGATAATTCTTGATGAAATTTAGAACAGGGATGGAGGGTGACTTTATCAGTGGGTTAGGCCAGTAAAATGAGATCCCCAGTCACTATGAAGTTCAGAGGGGACTCCCCAGGCAGGAATAGTCTTTTCTAACAATATCTTGCTTACTGCTCTAGTGGTGGCTCTCCAACATGGAAATGACTCAGCCTACTGAGAAAACATACAAATCATTACTTATATCCTTGGGAGGGAGGCAACTGGCTAAAGTCGATTTGCTATACCTTGAAAGGTCCAGAAGGCAAAGGAAAATATCCCATATAAGTATGAATAGGCTTTCCAGGTTATGCTTTGGGCAAATCTGACAACTCAGGTATACCTGTGAGGTAATTTTTTTAAAGATTTTATTTATTTATTTATTTATTTGACAGAGAGAGAGAGTGGCAGGCAGAGAGAGAGGGAGAAGCAGGCTCCCCGCTGAGCAGAGAGCCAGACATGTGGCTCAATCCCAGGACCCTGGGATCATGACCTGAGCCGGAGGGATGCTTAACCGACTGAGCCACACAGGCACCCCTGATAATTTTTGGTGATGACTTCTAGTAGTATTGTTTACCCCATGAGACCACCTAATCAGTTTTCTAATGTGTCAAATCATGTATATATTACAGGACCTATCTCTGTAGGCAATCAATGAGAATGAGCTGATTGTTAGGACCTATCCATAGATTTCATCTGGGGTCAAATTTACAACCTTGTTCTGCCTATTTCTTTCTAGTTTGCCAGTTAACTGTGGGGCTCCTGTTATTTTATCTTTTTGATAGCAAATTCAGGAGACATGGAAGTTGCAGGTGATAAGTAATAAGGTAGGGACTGACTTAAAGCAGCTGGGTTAGTAGCTGCATCAGCCGAATGATTTCCTTTGCTTTTCTCCATGTTTGCCATAGAGTGTCCTGGAATTTTAATGACCGCCAAAGATTTGGGCAGTTGGATAGCATTTAAAAGATCTAATACATAAGAACAATTTTTTATTTTCTGTTCAGAAGTCAAGAACCCTCCTTTATTTCCAGAGCATACCAAAACCATGAGCAACACCAGAGGCCTATCTACTACTGGTATAGATGTTAGCAGCCTTATCTTTACCTAGAAAATAGGCTGTAGTTAGTGCCAGAAAGTTCTGCCTGCTGAGCAGAAGTGGCCTCTGGTATGGGTTTAGCCTCGATGGTTTCAGTTAAGGATATTATAACATCATTGGCTCAGTAGTGACTGGTTTCATCCTTTAAGTAGGATCTGTCAGTAAACCAGATTAATTCAGCATTCTTTTTTTTTTCTTTTTAAAGATTTTATTTATTTATTTATTTGAGAGGGAGGGAGAGAAAGTGAGTGAGGGAGGAGCAGAGGGAGAGGACCAAGCAGACTCCAGCGCTGAGTGTG